ATAAATGTGTCAATTAAAAAATTTAATTATTCCTAATGATTATTGTAAATGTTGAAAAATTTTGCACTATTTTCAATTAAATGTACTATAAATATGTTATTTTTAGTGTTTTAGTAGTATTACGATACGATTGTTTTACAAAATTAACATTTATTAACAAAACTTTTACGTGTGAAGAGAGTTTTTTTTTACTATCAGAAGCGTAAGTCTAATACTTTAGTTTTATTGAACTTTAGTATGCTTATAGATTTTTTCAACGGTATTTTACAACAGATTTTCTTTAAGAACCAATAATTAATCCATTTTTTCATCTTCAAATCAACATGAAATTGCAGTTGTATGAAAAATTAAAGTGCGAAATTTCGGTAACGCAAACTCCTGAACTCTTCCCTTGCAAATCTATGTGCACGTTAACATACATTATATAGTCTACGGATTGTATATTTAAAACAAAATATCCTATATATATATATATATATATATATATATATTTATATATAAATATTAACGATTCAAATGACATTTTTTATTGGAATAACGTATATATTTAACACTGGAAAGAATAGTATTGGAAATTTTAATTGATGTGAAGCAGTAGAGTGATTTTTGTTTATATGTATGAATATTAAAATATTCAATTGAATTATCACACAGTATTAACGTAATTCATATATTGATGGGATTTTAATAATCATCATATTATTTTTAATATTTATTTTATATACGCGTAAGTCCTAACAACTTTCTATCGCTTTGTTGCCTAAAGACAATTTCTCGAGCTTTTAACAAATCTGAAAATTTTATCAACTTTGTCAGAAGAATATCGTACTATCTTAATATTTATTTTCATTGGAATCGATATTGGAATATATTTTTATAGATATTTTTATCCGAATTTAATATAAAGTAATAATAAAAGTCTTAATTGAGTGGAAACCATGAAATATGTTATTTTCCGCTACCGAGAACCGATCATAAATTTACAAACAAAGGTTCCATAATTAGAACTTTTTATTGTCTAGTTTACACTTGTACCAATAATTTTTCGCGAAACAAAAGGATTCCCTTTTCACACAAACTTAATTAACGATTTAACCATCTTGCCCTCGTCTTAATCAGCATGTGCAGCCGTGACGTCGTAGTGGTAAATCGAGATTAACAATTCGTCTGCAAAAGAACAGTAAACTTTGGCCTTTCAACACTCCGCTCTCGACGAACTTTCCTGTTGTCGCACTAATAGTCCTTTGAACTTTCATCGCGTCCCACTTCTATGTGACAGTCGAATTCACGTTGCTGCTCATCGCGAGAAGCTAGGATCGAAAGGAAATGTAAGACATTTCTTTCTCGCTTTCCATCCTTTGTAAGATGTCCAAATCCAATTTTTATTGCGAACGACTATGTAATAATAACAATTGAGGATTAAGGTGTTAGTAGGTTTTATAAATGGACTATGAAAAATTTTCCAAAAATCCTGACTGATAGATATTTCCATTACTTGTATTTCAATAATTATGTGAGATAATTATTATTATTATTAAATATAGATAATTAAAAAATCGTGTTAATTAGTTAGAAAACAAAAATTATTTTATTAAAATATTTATTTGAAATAATTTTTTTTTTAATCCTAGATAATGACATATTTTGTTCGACGGGTATGAATTTTATAACTATCCTTAATCGCTGAGTCTTTCCGATTATGACAATTTAAACATTTCATATCATTGCATGTTATTATTACTGTTATTATTATTATTATTATTATTATTATTATTATTATTATTATTTCATTCAATACTTATTATATTCTTATCTTTATTCATTTCATTTATATTGGTTACATTACAAAGAATATGAGTATGAGCATATATACATTAGTAAGACCAACTATTTGCTATTCATATTGATATATTAAGAATAAATCTCATATTTAAATTTATGTAATGTACATATACAATAAGTTCACAGAGAAAAATAGAGAATATTTCTGATATATTGTAGGGGCACGCCGACTATATATACGTTTAAAGTACGTGACACAGTACCTAAACATGGATATATTATATAGCATTTGCATTAGTATGTAGATATACAATGAAAAGAACTATTACTTGTTATTTTTTATATAAATACTTTTCAAATTATTTAATTATTTATGGTTAAATTTTTAAGAAATAAAGAAAATAATAATAATAATGAAACTTTATAATATATTTATATCTGAACACCATTATAATATTTTCAAGAACTTCTAGCGTCGATTTTTTACAGCGACGTTTGGATTCAGTTTATGTGTTGAATAATAAATTGTATAGAATATTATTAATTTGTCAATATTTATTAAAAGTGCCTGAAAAGTACATTGATTCGCATTAATGTGGAAATAAACAATTGACATCCATTTTTCAAGTATTTATTATTTTTATTTGTTAATTTGGATGTATAGTTAGTAATAAATGCAATAAACATAACACATTTTCAAGCTATTTTTACGATTTTTAGAATAAAAATGTAACAAAAATTAATGTATAAAAGATTCAAAACTCAGCATGCTGTTCAAATACATATATCGGAAATTCATCTTTGATAATCTGCGAAATTAATAAATTCCAAAATATGAGAAATATTATTGTAAATACTAACAAGTATGTGAATGTCTTTTATTCTTAATATAATAACTAAATATACTTCTTTAACAAATTTCCTTTCATTTTAATGATTATATACTGTAATGTTATACTCAGTATTTAAAATATTCAGTTTCAAAATGTGTATTGTGATAATTTCGATTGTTGTTAACAATTAGACCTGGCTTAATACGGAAAGTAGTCGAAAGGTATTGAGCATAAAAATTACCATCACTCTTAATGCTATAAATACTTTCATCCGATAATTATATTTATAATATATGGAGATATAAAACATGACTTTCTCATCGAAAAATCTGGCGACATACTATGGTTACATATGATTATAAGAAATTTAGTTACAACGTTACTGGTCGTAACGGCAAAGGTACAAATAGCCTTACAAGGTGCAGTTTCTTACGCTTGGGTAGCACAAAAACAATTCTTAATATAAGCAAAAACGTGTAACATTGTAGTTGCAGATAAAAGAAAATAATGAAAATTAAAAAATATTAATTAAGATGGCAAATGATCATAGAAAACTTTTGTATTAAAGTGTTATTTTATTTCACAATATCTGAACCTTCTACGATTCTTTCATTAGAATTACTCAAGTTATAACAATGAATTTGCATTTGAAATTTATAGTCATCCGGTTTTATTGGCTTTATCAATTACCAACATCAAATAAGTTTTATTATAGAATTTATTAATTATGATGGTTCTTTAAAATTAAGATATGGAGATAGCATACATATAAATAGTAATAGATTCATAAAGATTGATGAGATGAGATTCTTAGACATTTTGAATGTAATTAATATAAACGTTATACCTATTTTGCATTTTGTTTAGAAATTATTTAGATATACATTAGTATTTTACTTCACTGTCGTATACTATTATTTCTGAAAATATACGGGTTTGGCATTAATGATGCACCTTTTATACTACAATTTTACTTAAGATATGCTTTTTAATCTTTCACTCACTACTAATCTTTTGACTGATTTCCTTAACTGTAGATGGGCAGGCAAGAAAACCTAATCAGTCGCACACATGTTTACATATGTATATATATATATATATATATATATATATATATTATTTTACTACATTAGACGCGCTTTCTTTTTTCCGTTAATATTTTTTTACCGATCCCAGTTAGAATTCCACGTGTGTCTCGTTCGCCTTTTCAATCTCTGCTGACTATTCTATTATTCTCTATGCAGGATTTCGTAACGTACCGGTATGTACCAACGAGAAAACTATTTTATTGTTTTGCTGTTATACGTACGTTTTAAGTTATTTGAAAATATAAATGTTTTGTTTTGTGCCGTTTGAGAGGACAAGACAAATGTGGAATTGAGTTTTTATTGCATTCTTCGAAAGCACAATTCTTTCCAAGTACAGTGCGCCTTTATGTTTACACGGAAATTCTTAAAACTGTTGATTTCCTAGGAATATCGAACAGAAAATATGAGTCGGTTTAGAGACGTTTTTCATCTTGTAAACTAATGTTTTCAACTCATTTGTCCTATTGTAAATTTCAAACTAAACTACGAATGTAACTGAAAAATTTAAACAAATTTATTTAAAGCAATAAACGTTGACTTAATTCGCTTCCAAAAATACGGGATAGCAAATATAATATACAAAATACCATTAAGTATTAGATATTAAAGTCATTAAAGGCAAATTCAATATATTATACTAAGTAAATATTTGAATGACTATGGTTTGTCTGTATTACATCATAAGTTTTAAGAATTATGTAGTTTTATTCTTTCCTCTTACAAGTAATTTTTTACATAAACTTTGTTTGAAAAATAACGTCGAGGCCATAATATGAAAATTAAAAGCTATCATTATGAAATAAGTATGAACGAATATAAATTTTAAATAAAAACCATAAATGTAGCTTATGCGGGAAAAACGATTGCAATTATTACATTTATTAATTATTTATAATAATATTATAATCCATACGCCACTGTATTTATCAATTAAATCATTGTTCTCGTCATACCTTAAGTTAAATAATTGAACTGATAAATTTTATCGTGCAAAATCATGAGATTATTAATATTTTTTAAAGTTAGAATATTTAAATATAAAGAAATTTAAATATAAGACTGTATGATTAAACGATGAAACATTATCCAATATCAATTCGGCAAAAGTACTAATCCTGTACTTAAGAATAAATTGTCACGGCAAACGTATTGTAACATGCAAACTAGAACCCCCCCCCCCAAACCCAAATTCCCCACCGCCGAATTTACGCCTCCGCCACTCCATGTTATTTTTGTACGACAATTATCCACGGACCAGTGTGAAATGGAGGGAAAAATCTTACGGGTGATACATTACCTAAATTGTCCGCTACAACGGCGCCGACGACGCTCAGCAGCAAAAGGAGGAAAGTCGACATGGTGCGCTGTGATTCCGTATCACTGCTCATCCTTTACTTCCTCGCTTACGATCGATCACTTTAATCATTCATAATTGCACTAAAGAGCAATTTTCTCACTCTAAGCTCTAAACCCAGAAGTTCAAATTCAATTGACGACGGCGGGAAGAATGCGAGCGTCGACGGAACGTCCGTCGAGTATTACCGAGCTATTCGTCAAATTCACGATGCACCGAAGAATTGAAAACGCTGAAATCGCGATCACCGAGCGCGCGCAAATCATTCAAATTCCGCGACGTCTTCGGGTAGTGACAGCTCAGTCCGCATAGATAATCCTTTGGCCGAGCTTCAAACTTTGTCTCTGTCAATCCTGTAAAGTTATCGTCCGTCCATCAGCGAGTAAATCCGGGAGCCGTCATCGTCATCAAAGTCGACAACATTTTCTTCGTCGCACTGACTTCACACGCTCAAGATTCAACGTCGAACGACTCTCTCATCTCTCAACAGCGGACCGATCTTTGTCGCATCAATTAAAACTAATCGCCTACTTATCTCTCGCACAGATGCATATACACAATACACGCACACGAACGCACACGCGCACGTACGCACGCACATTAGGAGACACTGTGTCGATAACCGCACAACGCTCAACGAAATCGTCAAGTTTTATTCTCGCTAGCACTCCTTCACCATTATCGACACTAAATCGCGAAAATTAGCGCCAATGTTCGAAGCACAACTACATTAGCATCTAACCAATTTCGAGGATCCTTACACACATTATCCAAATGTAGCGACTTGCGACCCATGCCGCTCAAAATGAAATGAAAAAACTTCGCAAATTCGCGGGAAAATGTTATAAAATCAGAGGGAATACAGTCTTGTCGCATCGAGCAATCGGTGGATGACAATCACAATGGCCAATAGGATCGCGATAAATCCACTGCAACGGTCGGGGGTAGTGATTATCAGCCCAGTTGGCGCTAGCTTCGTACATCAGCTGATTCGCATAAATCCCAACGATCTGTCCTGCAGCGCAGCTGCGGTACATCGCTCGACCTGCTGAGGATGACGACGACGACGACGACGACGACGACTACTACGACGACTACTACTACTACTACTACAATGGTCAATCGATTATCAAGATCGAAACGCACTTCCCGTGGCCAGGTCGGTTATCAGGAGCAGCTCGGATAAGTCGCCGACCACCGATACCCGAGCTCCCCCCCCCCCTTAACCGCGACCTACGACCGCCACCGTATTAAGTCATCAAAGCCTCGAGCCACATAAGCACCGGCCGCGCTTATCCACAATCCTCCCGATATCTCAACCCTACATCCACACGGGACCCGTAATTAGCCCAGCTGCTGAGCGATGCTTCATGGAACGCGTCCGGTCGATCCCGGACTCGACATCCCAGACATCCCCGACATCCCCGACATCGCTGACATCCTCGAAACCACTCGTACCTTGAGCTAGAACCGCGCGCACATCGCCGAGCTCGGTCTCTCACGGGCACACCGGGCTGCAAGGAACTCGAATATGACGGCGGTCGGCGCGCGACTGAGCCGCCCCGAGTCGAGCCGAGGCCGCAGTCCGCACGCGCCGTCGACACGTTCGAAAGCCGCCGTGCCAGTGACGTCACGGGACCGCGCGCGCGCCCACCAACCAATCCACGATACCAGCTCCCGTCCTCCTCAGCCTCACGCAGACACGCACGAACGCACGCACGCACTCACGCACCGGTGCACGGGCCGGAGAGTATTGTTTTGAGACGCGGGGCGCCCACCGAAACACGTGCGAGGCTGCCGTTAGAGGCTCGCTGGCGGGGAGGCAGTCGATGGTTTTTCCAAGTGTCGGCGACCGACCGACAGCGTAGGTATGTAGGTACGTCGTGAAAATTATCGTGAAGGAGGGCGTGGGAGAGAGAATCGAATCGGCGCGCTCCTCGGAATATCAGTTGAGTTTGAGAAACGAAAAGAATTAGGTGAAACGTTTGATTATATGGAAATGTTATTAAAATATCTGCAATGGATTGTCGTTGGCCGAGATGGCTTTGGTGAGACAATGCGGCATGAATTTGCAACTGAAATAAATCGGAAACTTTGTAAGTGGTATTGGCTGATTTATGTAACACGATCAAGCTGGCGTATCTTTATGAGTGAGAGAAAAATCATCGATGAAGTAAAGTCGCTTATTTTCTACATACGTGCATAAGTATTGCAGGCAGGAACAAAGCTAAAAGTGACAGATTTAATGTGAAGTTTCGACTATATTAATGCAGTAATTTAAAAGAAGACGAAGCCCATAACGATCACATTTTTGTATAAAATTCAAGTTGCTTGAAATTATATCTTTCTCATTTCTATATGAGAAGTAGTACATTCTCGTCTCAACAATTCCAAACAGAATACGCTTTCAGTGTAGATTTGATTGTTATTGTAAATTATGATAAATGCGTGTAAATTTTTATATAATTTTCAATATTAATTGATTCTAACAGATGCGCGCTTATTTTGAAATTCGATTAGAAGTAAAAAATTCATATAAAAATCACTCAGGCCTAGCCATTAGGAATTTCTTATAATTGGTCCATATATATATATATATATATATATATATATATCCTTGTGCGATAACTTTTTAAGGACGTTTCATTAATTTTAACTTTCAGCCTCGAGAAAAGTCTGCCAACAAAATGACTATTCTCTCCATAGAGTTGCAAATATACTTATTGTCGGCTGATAATCTCATCATCCAGAGGGAAAAGCAGAATGAAATAAACGAGCTGAATGTCCTGCGTCTCTTCCTTCTCCACCTTCCTTTTCTATCACCCGGCACTCCATTGCAGTCGGTGTCTGGGTCGTCTGGCTTGTTTTGTTCTGTTCCGCTCGTAGGTAAAGGCGCATGCGAACCAAAGTGCGGAGGCTGCGACACGCGCGAAACATGTGTAATGACGTGCAAGTGGCGTAGGAGCGTTATTTCGAATGTTAATACTGTTCTGCATTTGAATTGAAGTCACGAATTTCAGAACTTCCAATTCAAGTATTTAAAAGTTGAGCATTTAAATTCGAGCATTTAAAAGTTGAATGTTTTAATTGAAGTATTGAAATTGAGTATTACAGAGTAAGGCAGAATAAATGCCCTATGAAAAAAGTACTTTCATTCAATCTATAATGCACAAAGTTAGAGCTGGATCCTCATATAGCCCCGTAAACACTTGTATACGTATATACATACACAGGTAGAACAACATGTAGTGTATAACAACGCATTTTTCACGTGTAAGTTCAATCTACGCTTTACAATTCATAAGGAAAAGTAAGTGTAGTGTAATAATACATTCGTAAAACCATTGGCATTTTTTTTTTTTTAATATTTTCTCAATTCGATATTTCTTGTACCGCCGTTATTTGTTATCCATTATTTTATCAATTAAAATATTTCCTTCGATTTATAAAATATTACGATATTCATGTTTTATGTTGAAATTCCCCCTCCCCTCCTCCCCCTATCGCCATCCCTCACGCCCACCGACCATCATCATTCTAAACGCATTATTACGCGGAGGTACAATAATAAAATAAGAAAGGAACATAATGAATGAAAAAATGAATATAAAGGAAGATAAAATCATCTTTTAGACTGTGGGTGATAAACATCAAATGCTTTCAGTTACTCAACAATATAAAAGCTACGATGTAGCCATGATCGTGATGGCATTCCTAAATAGGATCTGGGTGATTGTGTACACAAACACCGAGTAAATCTTCCTCGATGCAGAAACTTCGACAGTGAGTAAAAAACTTTTTAGTTGCCTTGAGTGAACAAGAAACTTTAAATTCTATTTAAATAAATAATGAAGTGTTATCGTAAAAAAATACACAGTGATGAAGTAATTACCCAGACAAGTTCCCTATTATATTGAAATTGTTATATATTGCACAAACTAGAATTTTAAATTAGTTTTACTTGTAAATATATCGAAATGAAACGTAGTCGAAATAATTTTTTAATAATTTGCAATAAATTTAAACCAGGCTTATTACACTTTTCTCCATTTCCTTCAACTGCCTATTGCGGTATTGCTGTAATAGTAGAATTTATGAACTTCGGATATGCATCTTGGACAAGTTACTTTTGCATACAAGGAGTTGACCAACATCTGTTAAGGATCATTTATAAACTCTGTGCTGGGAAATGTGTTGAGCTACAACCCTGGGCAACTGATTGTCAACCTTCATAAGATAACTTATGTGCCAATCGAACATAATTATGTTAGTACGTGAAAACACGAAAGTTTCAACTGATTATTATGTCAATATTCGCCGTATCTTTTATAAAGTCATTAAAGATGTTTCTTTATAGTTTTTGTAAATCGAATAAACAGCAGTAAAATCCTCGTGTTCTAAATTTATATAGGCAGCGCATTTCTCATAATCCATATTCAATTATATTATATATACTTAGTAGTCTTGTTCATTTATCATTTGCGAATTTCAAAGAATATAATTATTTCTAAATTATAACAGAATTTAAGTATGTTTAATAATAGTAAATTATTAGTTTTAGCCGTGTATATACGCGCGTGTGTATATGTATATATACATATAGTTAAAATACAGTAGATAATACTTTATATGATATTTAACTGTGTTATAAATTATCATAAGACTTTGATTATAATTCATAAAATATTTTATTATTTTCTGTTTTTCATTATTTAGAAATTCGGTATTATTATTTTTTCATTATTAATGATATTCAACAATTACCATTGTTTACAGATTATTTTTGACATATTTTTGACTGTTCGTAGTCTATATTCTTTACATTGACGTCTGTTCTTCGCTATTATATATTTGTAATCCAGTAGAGTAAAAATAATGTAAATTGAAATGCCAAATTATTACTTCACATTACTTAATAATACATTACAGGACAATACATTAGAGTTAATACTACATATTATTCAATCTTATTTTTTAGACAGTTGATTTTAACTAGCTTAAACTCTTACTTGAGAGAAATATTCATTAAAATTTGCTTTGAACTTTAATACGATAATAAACTTTTAATATCTTTAACCTTAGTAAAGGCAATATCAGCCAGTGAAGAAGGTTCATTGCGCATATTTTC